ATGACATATGCAGGCATACCTGACTTTTTTTGTACATGGTGATAAGTATTGGATTCCTGGTTAATGGGGTTTCCTCTGCTGATGCAATAAGCCAAAACAGACTGAATTAATAAATACAGATTTAATAGACAGCAAAGCAACTCCCAAGTGACTCTCAGAAAGGGAGAAGAGAAATCACGTGGCAGGCCTGGCAAACAAATCTTAAATACCCTGTATCTGTAGTCTTGAGCTGCTCCAAGGTGTGCTCTCTGAGAGTGAGGTTTGGGATGCCAGGAGTGAGATTGACACTTGCATCCTCATGTTTACCCAGCAAGTGTTCTTGGCATTGAACTTGGCCTCAACACAACAATGGCATTTCAAAAGGGCATTGGCGCCTCCTGAGAAGTGTTCTGTTTTGTGGTTTCCTAGCTCTTTGTCCCCCGAGGTGATGATAGTTGTTGCGAATAAAACTCAGGCCACATATTTTGGAAATACTGAACTAACCTTAAAGAGTTTGTTTTGAGACATCTGTGCTGGTGGTCAGTGCAGAGACTTGACTTGCAAACCAAGCACTCTACTAAGGTGCTACTGCTCAGCCCTTCCTCAGAATCCTTAACATGGTGATTAGCCCGTCACCCTGAGTTTAAAGATCTCATAGATTTTAGAGGCCTCCAAAATCTTCATCATAGGAGGGTGCAGAGAAGGAGGTAAGAAACAAAACAAAAATCCCCAGCTTCCTCAGTGGGGTTAGGAAATTAGGGCTGTTGTTATGCCTCAACAGTTAAATGGCCTCTCTCTCTCTCTCTTTTTCTCTCTCTCAAAGTAAAGAAAATACACACTTTCAAACCAGGAGGTGGTGGCACACACCTTTAATCCCAGCACTCAGGAGGCAGAGGCAAGCGGATCTCTGTGAGTTCAAGGCCAGCCTGGTCTACAAGAGCTCGTTTCTAGGGCCGGCTCCAAAGCTACAAGAAAAAGAAAAAAGAAAAAGAAAAAGAAAACAAAATACCGCTTTCTCTGCGACAGTCCAGAGAAGATCTCTAGGAAAAGTAAAGCACTTTTCCGTGTTTTAGTCCGTATCACAAGGGCATGATCCTCCACATTGCGGACTTTGACATGAGAGTTACCAGTCATAAAGGGAAGGGGCAGATAAACATGTCAATGCCCCAGAGTAGAGGTGGCAGCAGAGATGAATGGTCATTTAGTCGCTAAGAGTATAAAGCCTGGATCTGAGGATGCTGGCTGTAAACCTAGCCTTTGTTTGATTACCTGTGAAACTCTGGACAGTTTTACTTCCTGAATCTACTTTTGTCACCTTCTCCTATTAGTGCGTGATCTACATCGCTGACACACAGTGAGATCAGGCCTAGAGGACTTGCCACAGTTCTGACTCGGCTAATGTTGCTGGTAAGTTTTTAGTTTTCTCTTCTGGCAACAGATGTTTGTAGCCATTTCAACGGTTTGACCCTACATCTCTAATAAGTTGCCAAAAGAGAATTTTCCATCTCTGGCCCTTTGAACCACACCCTGCTTTAATCATGAACCAGATTTCAACACCACCTCTGAAAGGTCACCACCCACCACAGATTTCTCCCTGTAGTTTTAAATTTCATTGCATTAAAAGCAATCCATCAGCCAAACGGATACTTAGTGCCTCCACTAAGATATTATATTGTTATAGGATCTCACTTTAATCATAAAGAGGAAAGATGTGATTGAGAAATCGAGGGAGTGAGGACATTTATAACATCCTTGATAACTTCAAGACAGCATTCCACACGTCCTGTAAGGGAAGGGAAACTCACACTTCATAAAGCCATCTCTCCAGAGACTACAATATCACCAAAATGTCAGTGTTACCCAAGCCCTCCATCTCTCCAGAGGCTACAATATCACCAAAATGTCGGTGTTACCCAAGACCTCCATGTGTTCAAAGACTACAATATCACCAGTATGTCCTTGTCACCTAAGACCTCCAAGTAAGCTTGCTCCCTAACCTAACCCGTCCTGCCTCTCCCCCTCTCCTGTTTCTCTTACAAATTGCTTTCAATGATGAAATATTGTAGCCTTAAAGTTCTTATTCTGATACTTAATGATACTGTTTTATTCCATTTCAGTTTTGCTTGTGAAACACACCACACCCAGTTTATAATGTAATTAGCCCAGAACACTGGAAACTAATTCTGAATGGGTCTTGTAGACTTAGTTATTTACCAGCTATGTGTTTCTTGTGCAATGATGGAAAACTAAATTCATATTAAATTAAGGAGGAGGAGGAACAAAGAAGGAAAGGCAGGCAAGCTGGAGAGCTGGGAGATAGTTCCGTTGGTAAAACACTTGGTTTGCAAGCACGAAGACCAAAACTCAGTCCCGAGAACTTGGGTTAAAATAAACAAACAACCAATAACAACAAACTGAACTTGTAGTTCCTGTCTGGGGGAGATGGAGATGGTCACATCTTTCCTCCTTGGTAGCCAGCTAGCTTCTAGCCTAATTGTTGAGCCCAGATCAGTGAGAGACCCTCTTTCAGAAAAACAAGGTAGATAAATCCTGAGGAATGTACCTAAAGCTATCCTGTGCCCTCCAAATTCACACACATACACACACACACACACACACACACACACGAAAACAAAAACATAATAATGCCAAAACTTCTGGAATATAATGTAGGCAGTTCTAATAAGCAAGTTCATAACTCTAAATGTCTTCATTCAAATATCAGAGAGAACTCAAATAAATAAACACTTCAATACTCTGAAAAATGTGAATAAACCAAATTGAGAACAAATGATGGGAATAAATAATTAAGACCAGGACAAAATTGGTGAAACAACAACAAAAACTCAATACAAATAAACAGTGAAATGAAGAGTTTGTTCACTGAAAGGAAAAAAATTATGGGTAAACCCTCACGTAACCAAAAAGAAAGTCTCTATTTGATAACATTGGTGATTTGACTGGACATTATGATAGATATCAAACAAATTTAGAGATTTATAAATGCATACCTTGAAAACCCATATTTCAGTACATTGAAAAACCTAAAAAATGAATTTCTAGGTGCATTTGACCCACCAAACTTAAACCTAGATGAAGTCAACAATTTAACAGACCGGTATCAAGTAATGAGATTATGGAAATAATAAAACACTCTTATGGTTATAAAAATCCCAGTTCCAGATGAGTTCACTGCAGAATTATACCAAAGCTTAGAAAAGAATCAAAACTAGTGTTTATCAAATTATTCCATAAAATAGAAAACAGAGAAACACTGCCAGCCATCTTTTACAAAGCATATATTTTTCTAATAATCAAACTAGGCTAGAATACTAACCCCAAAGGAAAACTATTGACAAATAAATAAGAGTAGATTGTGAAGTTCTCAAAAAAATACAAACTGAATACAGGAAAGCGACAAAAATATTATTCACCATGGCCAAATTAGCTTTATTCCATAAAAATCAAAGATAGTTCAACCAGTGCAAATCAATAAATGTACTAAATCATATGCAGAAGTCACACAGTCATCTCAATGAATGGAAAAAGGACAAAATGCAGCAGCCTTTTGTGACAAAATCTGGAGAATCTAGTTATACAGGAGATACATTTCAAAATAATAAAAGCAGAACATCATAGGATCACAGCAAAAGTCATACTAAATAGAGAAAAGCTTGAAGCATTGTCTTTAAAATCAGGAACAAGGCAAGGACGTCTACTCTTTCTGCTCTTATTCAACACATAGTACTTATAAAAGATAAATAAAATAGGAAAAGAAGTCAAGGTACCCCTATTTGAGACAATTTAATTCTAAACATAAAAGACATCACCTGAAAATTCCTACTACTGATAGACACAGTCAGCAAATGGACTCAGGATACAAATGTATATACAATTTTTTTTAAATATAGCAACACCAAACATACAGAGAGAAAAACTGGGGGCAAATCCCAATTTACAATAACCTCAAAGAAAATATAACATCATAGAGTAACCTAATGAGGAAGTGAGAGACATCCACAACGGAAATTCTAAACCTTAAAAACTTGAAAAGATCCTAGAAGATGGAAATACCTCTCATGCTCATCAACTAAAGATTAATATTCCTCTAGGTCTTGGAACTGGTGATGTAAATGCCCATTTAGTGCTGAAGCACTGTTAAGCCAGTGGGCTGAAGACAACGTGTGCTTCAGATGCAAGACAGAGAGATGGGGACAGATCTGAGCTGGAGGCTCCCTCCATACTGAACAGAGGCCGTGGTCCCAGAGGATGTTTTGCACGCTGTTGGGGCAAGGAGACAAGTCATAAATGATCTAACCTAGAGGGCCCATGAGCTACAATATGGACCTGCCGGGCAAGTTAGACCTACTAGTGGTGGGTTAGCTCTTCTGGAGGTAGGGAGCTTCATCCTGATTGGATCTGAGACTCGCTGCACAGGAAGGAATCCATGCCTGACACTGTAAGCACAGGCCCTAAGCACAAGAGGTGAGTACACACTACTGATGCTTTACTAAATGGACATGGTGTCAAGGTAGTGGGAGTGAAATCCAAGAGGAGTTAGGCAGAGGAGTGATCAAAATACTTGGATGAAATTCATGACATTCTCAAAGAAAAACGCTATATTAAAAAAAAAAAAAAGACATCAGAATGAGACCCAGGAACACCTGGTTATAGAAAAACTAAGTGGAGATTGCATTTGTTTGGAAAATGTTAAGCTTGCATTGTGTTTAGCATTGTACTATACATCAAAAATTACTGAGAAGCAAAACCCAGAATGAGTTATCTTCCTTGGTGAGTGTGGGTTTATGACCCTGCATGGGGTTCTTCAGAGGCCAAATTCTAAACTGATCATCGGTGCATTTAGTTGTAACAATGGGGTGGGAGAAAAGGATAATTTTAGTCTTTGGATTGGGACACACTTTTTTTTAAAAATTAAGTCTGACTTTGATACTTGATGATAGGAATTTGGACTGTGACCAGTTTGGGGAGCTTAAAATAAACTGCTGTAAACAGATGGGTGCACGTATCTGAGTAGACTTGCATTTTTGTTTCTCTCAAGGAAAGACGAACACTGGGCTTGCTAGGCTGTAGGTAAGTACGCACATGCTTGACCGTGTAAGTTATTTGGCTAACATGCAGGAGTGACTGTGTGATTTTACATCTCGCCAGCAACTTACGAGCCCCACTTGCTTCATTCCCAAATGTTTCTCGTTCTAGCGGATATGTATTTGCGTTTTTCTAGTGCCCCATATTCCTGAGTGCGGCTAAACGCTAAATTTGCCATCTGCAAATCTGTTTGATGAAGTGTTTTTTTAAATATTTTGCTAGCTAAAAAATGACATTATCACTGAAAGACAAGTGTTCTTTACATATTTTAGACATGTGTCATATTATTTATTTACTTGAAACTATTTCTCCCAGTTTATGCCTTTCCCTTTTCTTTAAATACATATTTAAGTATACATATAAATATATATTAGATATATATGTCTTATATTTGTGTTTCTGTGTATGTGTACATAGGTATTGTGTGGACAGATACACTGCTGCTTGAATGTGGAGGTCAGAGAATAACTTGAAGGAGTCAACTCTATCTTTACCATGTGGACGCAGGGGACTGAACTCTGGTCATCCGTCTTGGTGGTTAGTGCCTTTACCCACTGAGCAATCTTGCCTGTTTCCCAATATTTTTTAAAAAGATCTTTTTATTAATAATGTTTTTCAGAGTACAGGTTTTTAATTAAAGTGAGTTCCAGTGTGTTAATTGTGTTTTTAATTAAAATGAGTTCATTGTGTGTTTGTACATGTGTGCACATGTGTGTTCATTCAAGTGTATCTGTGTTTAGTTGTAGATTCCAAAGAATTTTCTCACATATTTTTCTAGAAGTGTGTCAGTTTTTATGTGTGTTAGGGTATATGATACATTTCAAGTTAATATTTTTATATAAATAAAGTAATGGTTATATTTTTGTCTGTTTTTTGCATGAATATATAGTTGTTTCAGTAACATTTGTTGATTAAAGATATATATTCCCTGATGAGCTATCTTGGGACCATGGACAGCACATACACAACATTAACAACAACAAAGGATAGCCTTTTGTCCGTCTTTTGTTTCTAAACTTCCAAGTCTGCTTCATTTACATATACATCTATGATTTGATAATACCATAGTAAGTGTAACTTTTTTAAAAAGTCTTATAAACAGGCACTCTAATTCTTGTATTTCTTACTTCTATCAATATACATGCATGTTAGTAAATAATATATAAGCAGACAATATATATGTAATATTCATGTTGTCTATGTATGTAGCTATATTGCTATTTTAAACCCTTTTATTTTATTCTAAAGTAAGTATTAAATAATATAACTTTACCATAAGCAATTCTGTAACTGAGCCCCAGGAAAAAAAAAACTTTAAGTTTGGGTTAATTAATACATAATAAGAGGTCTGTATTTCAAGTTTATGCTTTGATAAATTTGTAGTCATATTTATACCAAAACCATCATTACAACCAAGAAAAGGAACATAAATTCCCATTGTCTCCAAGTATTTCTGTATTCTCCTTGTAATCCCTTCCTGGGCCCTTCCTTCTTTTTCTGCATTCTACTGGGAAATCACTAATCCGCTCTTTGTAGCTAGAAATTGACTCCTTTTCAGTACACAATACCTAACTTTCTTTCATGGAGTATTACGATTTGTCCATGATTCAGTGTTTACTAATAGTTCATTTTTTGGATCATTTTACCAGTGTTGATTGACATTGGGTTGTGATTATTTTTAGGTTATTACATGTACAGTTGACATTAGTATTTGTTTATTAAAGATGCATAAGCCTCTGTGTCCACGAGTACATACTCTAATTGGTGAGCTCAAATACAAACCAGAAAAATAGAACCCAGAGCGTCTTAAATGGACAGGACAGATAGCAGCGTGCTGGTACGTGAGCCATCAGGCAGCTTCTACGCAGTACAACCAATATGAGACTTGTCAAAGCGAGAAGCCGTCGCGAGCCACAGAGACAGAGAGAATGTGTACTGGTTTCTCTCTTTCTGAATGCCTTCTTTTTAAAGACAGTTCAAGGCATGTATACCATTCTTGTCTCTATCTGGCAATCTAGCGACTGATACGTTTTAACTCCACATTAAAAAAAAAAAAAAAGTCTTGCCTCACCTGTAGCCTGAGTACAGACCTGTGCTTGGCTCTTCAGGACAGACTGACCTTCTAACAGGTCCCTTGGGTTAGTGTAGGAAAAGCTTCCACCTATTCCGACTGTAAATAAAGCCTTTAGGCTCAATGGGATTCCACCTGTCTCCCTTGCCTGACACATAATACAGCAGAGACAGAATTGTCTGTTTTGTTTTCGTTTTTTAAGAAATGCCCTAGTCTCTTTCTCTGGAGCACCAGGCGTTTCATGCAGACTCCGGGCATCTGGTAAAGCTGCAGATTAACTGTGTTCATCAGTTTGGATGAAGAAGACCCAAGCATCACTCTCTGAAGAATTTTAACTTGGAATTAAGGTGCATTACTTCTCTTTCTTGTGCATTCAATAATATAAGGCTTGTCCTTTTCTGTTCTAAGGGTCCACACGTGAGTGGATCTCAAGCAACTGCGCATATGCTCAGAAACTCCTGTTGCAGTTTATAATTGTTTGTTCCTTGGCCTATTGCAGAAATTCAAAGCTGGGTTTTATCGCTGTCAGTGGGTTCTTACGTGAGTTTTGTGTCTTTGATATTTTCTCAAGTCGTTTACACGTTCAAGACTTTCTCACAAATAAACCATGAAAATTTTAAACAAACTGGCCCCGAAAGTCTTGGGTCCACTTGGGAACAATACATTTATTCTTTAAAAAGTCCAATAATAACTGGCGTGATTGAAAATTGTTTCAAAGTATTGACGTGGTATATGTGATAATTCTACATAATTTGAAAGTGATCAGCTATGGAATACGTTTTCTATTGCTTGTCTGGACAAACAAAGAGGATGAATTTATGCTTGATGTGTTGTTAACTCACGCTCAAAACTTTTATTTGTGGCTTTCCATTTAAGCGAAAACCAAACAGAATCCTGCTTACTGAACATCATGAAATACTAACAAGTTCTCCATTTTTGAGTCTAGTAGATCATCTTGACTACATCTTTGTTTTTCCTCCCAGGGAAAAGTCAGATTAGCAATTATAAGTGCATTACACAGGCATTTATACAATTATGACAGAATAATGTATTTTTAAACCACAAGCCCAGTAGAATAATTTAATAAATATCACACATAGAACCTAAGTATCTGAACACCGGAGTAGCTAAGGGAATGAGAGTGATGGAAATCTGCAGGGTACGTTTTGCAGCCACCGAACTTGTACAGAGGATAAAGTTCAAGGCACTATTAGAGAAAACAAATTATCTCCAACCTGACCACCACAATCAAGTTGTAGCTTTTTCATACACCCAGAGTCTGAATGAACCACAGATACCCAGCGGAATTAAAATGTACCACTTTGGCAAAGGGTGGGGATGTTTAGCGTTTTGTTTTCTAAAAGGCTTACAATGGAAAGATACAAGGAATGTCTTAAAACAGAATGCTTAAAAGGGTCATCAACTGATCATACTGTTCAAAACCTAACACTAGTCACTTTATGAACTTGGTTTAAAGTTCAATTTGATAAAGCATGCTGAGCGTTCATTGTGTTTATTCAAAGCATGGAGCCAATTAACACTATCATCACTCCAGCTTTCGAGCGCTCTGGGCTAGTGGAAAACAGAGAAGCGTTTCAGAAGAGCTATTTAGCTGGACAGAAATCCAAGAGAACTCAACACATAAGGGTAGGAATGCTTTACAAAACAACTTTCTGACTTTCCTGTGCTTGTTCTAACAGCCTCTGGGCCATGTGGGAAAGCTAATGGCTAACCGTCTCAGGGCAGTCCCGTCCAAGGATGAGAACAAACACTGGCAACACAGAAACCATCCTCTCCTTGGCCGTTCATGTCACACAACAGACATGAAAAGGCCACTTGGGTTCCTATTTGAAAGTCTATCCTATATTATTCCAGGAGAGAAAGCCAGAATATAGACGGGCATAACACACTCTGGGTTTACCAATGAAAGGGGCAGAAACATGTCTGGAATGGGATCATAGTTCCAACAAAAGGTCCCTGGAGGCTCCATTCAACTCTAAATGGCAAAGAAAAGCTCAACGTCAGTGGTACTTGACCTAAGCCCTTTGGAGCTACAAGCCTTACACCTATTTAGAAACCTTGAGGACTAAGTTCTGCCTGTAGAAATTTTGTGGTGATGTAATGTGCTGGACCCAGCGAGCACTAAGTTGTCACTGATATGCTGGGGAGACTTTCAGGGAGAGTGTGACAATTTGGAGGTGGCCCCAAGAAAACTGGCATGTTTACATAGTCATGTCCAGTTTACCTATGTCAGAAGACACGTTGACAGACCCGAGAGAAGGAATTACACATGGTTGCTGGTTATCCAGGCTGCTGGAAATGCCACTAGCCTGGCCAGTCAAAGAAAAACACATGTGGCTGCCAGAAGTAACAAAGTAATGGGTTTTCCACGTGAAGCCATCGGTTCTGGACAATCTGGTATTTTTAGAGGAAAGACTCATGCATAGTAGGTACTGTGGCTATTCAGTGCTGAACTCCTGAGGCTCATGGATTCAGGATGGGGTGGACTGGTGGCTGGTGAAGAAATGAAGCATCAATGCAGAGAATTTGTGCTCCCAGAGGAGCAGTAAGTTGCAAATATTGGGAAAATATTTAATAACTCGTACTTTGAAGCATGACATGTCAAAATCTGTGGATTCCTTATGGCACCAATACCCTGGAATGAACGCATGTTTCAGAGTGAGAAGCAAGAGCTTAGGAAATGTAAACATACTTTTCCTTCAATTAACAGCCATAACTATGTTACTTAGAAATGGAAACACAAGTTATGTGTAAAGTATACAAGATTTTCACACAGATGCATATGTCCTAAGGGTCTTTGGCCAAACAATGTTAAGTTGGGATCTATTAGTTCACTGTGACTGCCCATATTGCTAGAACTTCCTGTAGGACCAGTTTAATACTTGGATGCCATGATTTCTCTCTCTCTCTCTCTCTCTCTCTCTCTCTCTCTCTCTATATATATATATATATATATATATATATATATGTGTGTGTGTGTGTGTGTGTGTGTGTGTGTGTGTGTGTATTTCAAAATATTTCTAGTTTGATAGTTTCTTTTATTTTTGAGATAATAATAGAATTACACCTTTCCCCCTTCCTTTCTTCAGATTTCTTTTATGAAAATATCTTTTCACAGCTTACATTGTAAAAATTTTCAGATACAAGCAAACTAAATTTTTTAAAGGTATATAGGCTTAAAATTCCCCCAAACACTAAATATCTGACATACTCTTGGAAATGTGGAGTCTCATAGTACTCGCTAGACTAAAGCAGAACATTTTGCAACAAGTCAGTGCCTAAGAAAGCCTCAGACTGATCTATAGTACATTTTTTCCTCATTGACAAAGCTTATATAAAAGATAGTCATAGTAATCTGTTTTATTTCTCTTGGAGCTAGATGCACCATTTAGTCCCAGAGTGCTAGATGTCACCATTCAATAAAGTAGTCAGCACTCTCTCTGTC